CCCCCCCCCCCCCCCCCCCCCCCCAAACGCTGAGTCGCCCATGGAACCAGAGACGGCTCCTTTATGAACCCGAGCCAAACTTTTATTCTGAAAGAAAAATCAAAAACAGAGCAGAACACGAAGGTAAACGGAGCCGAGTGAACGAGGCTGAAGCACAACGGAGACGACAAAGGAGATGAATAGTTCCCCTTGATGACTGTCCTGGTTTCCACAGCCAGCGACGCCCCTGAGGCCGGCCCGGGTTTCACACCTGTACCTGTTCACAGTAAACAATCACCTGCATTTCCTGTCTGAAGGGCTTTTACTGCGTAATAAAATGCAACCTGAGGTCAGCTGAGGCTGAAGCAATTACAAAAGGATGTCCTCTCTGTCCCCTGAAGACACTTTTCAGAGGGTCACGTGACCACTGCGACTCATGATGATGCTTTTATTTTGTAGACAGTGTCTTCACTAACGGATTTAGTTCAGTAGATGTTCTAACTGAACACTGTTCAAAGAGACAAAGATCCTCTGAACAACGGCCGAAGAAGAAGAGAAGAAATCAGCTGTCGTTGGTCAAAGAAACGTGAAGATTCGATTTAAACAGCTTCCTGTTTCAGTGTCAAAGAGTTTCACAATAAAAGTAGCCGAGAACAAGCTGGAATTAACAGGCAACGTGTTATTAGTTATGGAAGGAAAGAAGAACATCGATATAACAGCCTCTTAAGTGTTTTTGTCTCTTAATCTCTATTTGTGTCTTGATATTGTTATCAGGTTATTTGATGCCTCAGTCTTTATACTGTGTGTGTGTGTGTGTGTGTGTGTGTGTGTGTGTGTGTGTGACAGTTATGTAATTCAAAGTGATAAAACAAGACGTATCACGCTCCCTTTTATATCTTTAATATCAGATGTAAGCTTTTGTTGTGTTTTTGAACGGATACACTTTTCTTCAACACACCTTCTTCCTGCTCTGGTTTGGCTTTCAAAAATAATTATAAACAGTAAATATTAATGTGGAATCAAGCTCAGTAATAAAAATCTCTTCATGTTAATTTAACCCACACAGCATCAACCTCCGGTTCTTCAGAGTGAAGCCAAAGCTCCATGTGTTAAAGCTGCCTTCTCTCTAGTGACCACCAGGGGGCGACTCCTCTGGTTGTATAGAAGTCTATGAGAAAATGACTCTACTTCTCTCTTGATTTATTACCTCAGTAAACATTGTAAACATGAGTTTATGGTCTCAATCTCTAGTTTCAAGTCTTCTTCAATACAGCATGATGTTCATTTAGTACATTATGGTCCATTTAGAGTCACACAGACCATAAAGCAGGGGATGCTTTAGGGCGGGGCTACACGTGATTGACAGGTCTCTTCCAGAGACGTATACGGCGTCTCTACATCACTCCTCAGTCCAGATATGGTCACTTCCTGTTCACTGGTTGCAAAAAAACAAGATGGCGATGGCCAAAATGTAGAACTCGAGGCTTCGAAAACATCCACAAAGCAATTCGTGACGTCACAACAACTATGTTCACTTATATGAAAATTGTCTTCTAAACATAACTGTTGGTGGTTTTTGTTGCCAAACATTAACTATGTTATTAATTTCCTGACAATCTCAACCAAAC